GACAAAAGTGGCACCTGCTCAGTAAAACCATCAACAGGGTGAAAAATATCAAAATATTGTAGGCAGAGACGGGCTACAACTTCTGGATCCATTTTATATAAATCGTTTTATTGAATATCATCTTGTGAAAGATAACTTTGATGTACACGAGCAACCGGTACTGGCTGCTGTCACCTGTTGTGATTGGTTAAAGAGCTCTCTGCTGTCTGAGGGTAGGCCCCGCCCACAACGCCGCGGCTGCTGTGGCTCCCAGTGTTTTCTTTACTTTGGGAAATGGGTAATAATGGCTCTTTGATGGGAACAGGTTGCCGACCCCTGGTTTAGAGCAAATCAGCACACACAGGGACACATTCTTATGGCTTTTTAAATCTTTTACTGCCTTTTAAATGTTGTATTTCTGCATTTTTTTATACAGCGGTTTTTTTGTGTTTTAGTTGTTTCCTAACACTTTGTTCAGCACCTTGGGTCCCCTTGATTGGGGGTAGGAAGTTGTTTTATGAATAAAGTTGAAGATATCAAAACGTCTCTGTTACAGATCCTGGGCTCCCGCACCTTGAATGGCCCAGTCCTGTTCCCTCTCTGCTGTTCAGGACCTTGGACAGCTCCTCCATCAGGCTGGCCTCCGCCTCGGCCCGCCCACGCTGCATCAGCTGCGGACAATCTACCGCTGATGAGACGCTCTTAAAAGATTCCTGTTTCAGTTTCTCAGCGGGAGAACCACAGATTAAACCTCTGTCTTTCTCTCCTTGATTAGCTCGGTTTTGTGATTCGGATTGACTTGGTTTGACTTCAGCTAACAGTAAATAGTATCCTTGGTTCGTTTGGAAGATCTGTTTGATTCTGCCCCAGTGAGGCCCTTTGTTTTCGTTTTCAGCTTTATAGCTCGCTTTAAGTTGTGTTTGTAATAATATTGATAGCCGTCGAGATTTGGTTTTTAGTTAGTTCCGGCTCTTTGTTTTTCGTTTCTAGATCTATAGTTATTATCGTGTTTTCTTCCCCGGGACCGTTTGTCCCAGGTGTTTTGAGTTATCTCCAGTTTCTCCTTCGGGTGTTTTGTTTAAGTACATCCATTTTGTACTTTTCTAGTCTAGGACTGTGTATTTTGGGTTGAATTCTGCGAAATAAAACCCTTTTATTTACTCTCACCCCTCCTTTCTCCGCTTCAGTTTTTATGTTACCCCCTGCCACAACGCTTAACACCTAGGGTTTGTAACGGTCTCGTCTCGTCTTCTCTCGTCTTTCTCCGCTTATCCGGGTCCGGGTTGCAGGGGCAGCATCCCAACTAGGGAGCTCCAGACCGTCCTCTCCCCGGCCTTCTCCACCAGCTCCTCCGGCAGGACCCCAAGGCGTTCCCGGACCAGATTGGAGATGTAACTTCTCCAATGTGTCCTGGGTCGACCCGGGGGCCTCCTGCCGGCAGGACAAGCCCGAAACACCTCCCCAGGGAGGCGTCCAGGAGGCATCCTGACCAGATGTCCAAACCACCTCAACTGACTCCTTTCGATCCGGAGGAGCAGCGGTTCTACTCCAAGTCCCTCCTGAACGTCCGAGCCCCTCACCCTATCTCTAAGGCTGAGCCCAGCCACCCTACAGAGGAAACTCATTTCGGCCGCTTGTATCCGCGATCTCGTTCTTTTGGTCATTATCCAAAGCTCATGACCATAGGTGAGGATTGGGACGTAGATCGACCGGTAAATCGAGAGCCTGGCTTTCTGGCTCAGCTCCCTCTTCACCACGACAGATCGGCTCAGCGTCCGCATCACTGCAGACGCCGAACCAATCCGCCTGTCAATCTCCCAATCCCTCCTACCCTCACTCATGAACAAGACCCGATATACTTAAAATCCTCCACTTGAGGTAGGACCTCTCTCCCGACCCGGAGTTGGCAAGCCACCCTTTTCCCGTTGAGAACCATGGTCTCAGATTTGGAGGTGCTGAGCCTCATCCCAGCCGCTTCACACCGCGAACCTACCCAGCAAGAGCTGAAGGTCCACAGGTATATAGCTGGTCCACAGTTCCACTGCCAGGACGAAAACCACATTGCTCCTCCTCAATCTGAGATTGAACTATCGATCGGACCCTCCTCTCCAGTACCTTGGAGTAGACCTTTCCAGGGAGGCTGAGGAGTGTGATCCCCCTATAGTTGGAACACACCCTCAGGTCACCCTTCTTAAAGATGGGGACCACCATCCCAGTCTGCCACTCCACAGGAAACTGCCCCTGATGACCACGCAATGTTGCAGAGACGTGTCAACCACGACAGCCCTACAACATCCATAGCCTTGAGATACCCAGGAAGAATCTCATCCACCCCCGGGGCTCCGCCGCTGTGTAGTTGTTTGACTACCTCAGCAACTTCTGCCCCCGAGATTGGACAGTCCATCCCCAGGTCTCGCGGCTCTGGTTCCTCCTTGGAATGCGCGTAGGTGGGATTGAGGAGCTCCTCAAAGTATTCCTTCCACCGTCCAACTATAGCCCCAGTTGACGTCAGCAGCTCCCCATCCCCACTGTAAACAGTGTGAGCGAGTTGCTGCCTTCCTCTCCTGAGGCGCCGGACAGTTTGCCAGAACCTCTTTGGAGCCAATCGATAGTCTTTCTCCATGGCCTCACCAAACTCCTCCCACGCCCGAGATTTTGCCTCGGCAACTGCCACTGCTGCACCCCGCTTGGCTATCCGGTACCTGTCTGCTGCCTCCGAAAACCCACAGACCAGCCACGCCCTGTAGGCCTCCTTCTTCAGCCTGACGGCTCCCTGAACCTCTAGTGTCCACCGGCAGGTACGGGGGGTTGCCACCACGAATGGCACCGGCCACCTCACGACCACAGCTAGCAATAGCCACCTCAATAATCGCAGAATGGAACAAGGCCCACTCTGAGTCAATGTCCCCCACTGCTCTCGGGACACGGTCAAAGCTCTGCCGGAGGTGGGAGTTGAAGACCATCTTGACAGGTTCTTCTGCCAGGCATTCCCAGCAGACCCTCACTATGCATTTGGGTCTACCAGGTCTACGCAGCATCTTCCCCTGCCATCTGATACAACTCACCACCAGGTGGTGATCAGTTGACAGCTCTGCTCCTCTCCACCCGGGTGTCCAAAACACACGGCTGCAGGTCAGATGATACGACTACAAAGTCTATCATTGACCTGCGACCTAGGCTGCTCTGGAACCAAGTGTACCGATGGGCATCCTTATGTTCGAACATGGTGTTCGTTATGGCCAAACTGTGGCTTGCACAGAAGTCCAATAACAAAACACCACTCGAGTTCAGATCAGGTGGGCCGTTCCTCCCAATCACACCCCTCCAGGTCATGCTGTCATTGCCCACGTGAGCATTGAAGTCCCCCAGCAGGACAATGAAGTCCCCTGATGGAGCACTATCTAGCACTCGTCCCAGGGACTCCAAAAAGGGTGGGTACTCTCAACTGATATTTGGCCCATAAGCACAAACAACAGTCAGGCCCATTCCCTGACCCGAAGGCGCAGGGAAGCTACCCTCTCGTCCCCGGGGTAAACTCCAACACACAGGCAGAGAGTCTTGGGGCTAGCAAAAAGCCAACCCCAGCCTTTCGCCTCTCACCCGGAGCAACTCCAGCAAAGGAGAGTGTCCAACCCCTCTCAAGGACTTGGGTTCCAGAGCCAATGCTATGAGTTGAGGTGAGTCTGACTATTTCTAGCTGGTACTGCTCAACCTCTGCCACAAGCTCATGCTCCTTCCCTGCCAGCGAGATGACGTTCCATGTCCCAAAAACCAGTTTCCTTGTCCGGGGATCGGACCGCCAAGGCTCCCGCCTCGGTCTGCAACCCAATCCACACTGCACCGGACCCTTCATGTTCCTCCTACGAGTGGTGGGTCCACAGTTGGATGAGCCCATGTATCCGGTTCGGGCTGTGCCTGGCAGGGCCCCATGGGCGAAAGCCCAGCCACCAGGCGCTCGCTCACGGGCCCCAACCCCAGGCCTGGCTACAGGGTGGGACCTCGGTAACCCTCCGGGCCAGGTACTCCGTCTCTTCGATTGTACATCCATGAAAGATCCTCTGATCCGTTCTTTGTCTCACCCTTCACCTTAGACCAATTTGTCATGGGAAACCCTACCAGGAGCACAAAGTGCCCCAGACAACATAGCTCCTAGGATCATTAGGGCACTCAACAGGGGCGGATTAAGGACTGAAGAACATCCGGGGCTTAACACACACACACACACACACACACACACACACGCATGCACGTGCGTGCGCACACACACACACACGTGACACGCACTAGTCAACATCATATATATGTCTTGTACCACATAATTTTTAATCTGAAGCTACATATTAAGCATATTCAGGGCAGAGTATTGTTCCTGTTAGTGTTTAGTGTGAGATGATAGTAAATATTCCCTTTCTTTCTCCATCAACTTTACCTGATAGTAAGCTAACTTTAGGCAAACCAGCAGCACAACAAATATTTTCAAATAAGACTCACAAACCTGAGTCAACACCAGTCTCATCAAAGCTGGGGTTCTGTCATCCTTTTTGTCTAAAAAACGTCCTTATGTCCATCTTCACTCATGCGTTTCAGGCAAGACTGCAGAAGAAGCTGGCTGCTGAAGGGCTTCTTCTTCAGTGGTGGAGGCTCAGGCAGGTTGTATACAAACTACTGCCAGCTGCGCCCTCTCTGTTGGACTTTGGTACTGCATGTTACTTCCGCGTTTGAGATCCGGGGCTTTTCACTAAACATCCAGGTCTTCAGCCCATGTAGCCGGACCTAACGCCGCCCCTGGCACTCAAACTCCTCCACCACAATAAGGTGACGGTTCAAGGAGGAGGATATCAAAACGGTAATGCTGAATCACAGGAAAATGCAGCTTCTTAGAACTCCTTATTACAATTCTGTTCAACATAAAGATGTAGAGCTAATTATTTTTTGTTACCACTTACTTGTTTTAGCTGTGAAATTATGTGTGCCAAATGCACTGTGGGTTTATTTATACTTTCAAACTTTGATCTGATCTTAATAATTCAATAAACATCTGTTATTAGTGTGTGTTGGTTTATCCAGTGGGCCTATCCTGCAGCATCTAGTTGACAAGGTAAACACTCTTCATTATCTGCAGCCTGTCTGTTATGAGCTAAGCTCTTTAGGGGTTTACTCCAGCCACGAGTTATTGATACAGTCTGATGATCATGACACAATAGGTGAGGTTTAAATGGGAATGTTTGTACATTGAGCAGCTAATAACTTTTGGTTCAACTTGATATATTTTTTTTAACCTCTTATCAACCTCACTAGCTACTCACGTTGCTCTAGATTAGAAAACATTTCGAGTCCACCATGGCATTTCTCATGAATCAAATGCTGAGTAGTAAGTTGAAGAGTTTTTCCGGAGGAGGTGAAGATTCCAGAAATGCGGGAGCGGATGGGAAGGCAACGGCTGAGTCCAAAGGCATGTCCAGGGAGGAGTTTGAGGAATACCAAAAGCAACTGGTGGAGGAAAAGTGAGTAAGCAATGATGCCTCGCATTACATGTTAATAGCTGGGCTAAATAATAATGACTGTGACAGCAAAAAGTAATTAAGGTTTTATGTGTAATGTAATATTATTGGATGGCTGTAAAATGTGTATTTTATGTTCATTAATGTTGTAAAATACAGAAAATCTGTTAATTCCATGCATCTATACTTTTATAATGTTGTCCACATTTGCTTTTATTCCTCTGATATGATGCTTTGTGAAATGTGGCATTCCTCTGAGCAAGGGATGCATAAAAGATAAATGCAATAACAGGCATTTGGTTTGTTTATGTCTGAATTAGACTGACTTAACGCATGAAGCTGTTGTGACATCAACGGATGTGAGCCAGGTTTACAGGAAGGTTTACAGAACCAGGTTAAGCTTGTGTCCAATAACGCGTCAGGCCAGAAGCCACCATTAAACACGTCTCCTAGCCAGAGCGCTTTAAAACAATAATTATTTAATCATCTTACAATGTCATCTAAGGCTGAAGTCTCCATTATCTACAATTAGGTAAAGGTTTTACTGCTAATGAGAAAATGTGACCTTATGTAGACTTTCCTACTTTGTCTGGTGAATTTAAGTCAGTCAGTAAAATACAATAAATAAATACATTTAAAAAGTTCTTTTTGAGTGAGTGAGTCTGCAACTGATTGGCGGTTAGACTTAGGTGAATGAATAAACTTGCAGGTTGTTCAATAACTCCACTGTAGACCATTGGTTAAAAATGCTGACTCTGAAAATTCTAATTCAAAAGGGTGGTCCACCTTCACATATAAGGCTCTGACTTTATGATGAATAGATTTGGTTATTTAAGGCTTTGCACCATCACGTTGATGTATCTGGTGGTCAGTTCAATGCACCAAATGTGCTCTAAACACAAAGAGGCTGAGTCTGTTCATCAAACAATACTAAAACAATCTGCACGTTTTAGAAATGTCTCTGGGCTGTCTGATACTGAGGTGAGGTAAGGTAAGGTAAGGTAAGGTAAGGTAAGGCAAGGCAGAACTTATGCCCAACTTTTTTTCTTTCACAGTAAGGCAGCAGAGGCGAACGAGGTAATAGAGTACAGTCCTGGCCAAGACACCAACTTACTGAGTGCTTGTGCCAAGCTTCAGCTCTCATGGAAGCTAATCTTATTAGAGCAGGGTTAAAGTAGACCACCCTTAAATAGACACAAGTCAAATCTCCCAACACGGAAACTACCGTATAACACTTATAATGACATTATTGCAGGTAGACTGAAAGAACTGGGCTAATAACACAAATGACGTCAGTTCAAAGTCGCTAAAGAGGTCAGTGTGAATTCAGGAGGTCAGCTTAAATCAGTTTATGATGCTCCGCATCGATTATAGTGATACTCGTAGGTTAAGCTGCACTTCCCACTGATACGGTGTCCCAATTTTTAAAAAAGTAACATTATTTTTTGTAATGATGAGCTCAAAAAGTAAATATTCTCACGTCAGATCCGCTTTTTGTCCTGTGAAGTGATCAGAATTTATGTCAGAGTGCTAAAAACAAACCTTACAGTTTTCCTCTCACAGATGGAGCATTACAGCTACAGCTGTGATGCCCCACCTGATATAAAAATTAAATAATTGCTTTTGGTTTATTTTTCATCCTCGTGGACACACTGAGAAGAAAATGAAAGAAAGGAGGAAGAAGAGAAAGAAGAGGGGAGAGAAAAGAATCATTAAGAGGAACAAGAATACATTTTTCCCCCAACAGAAAGAGGAATTAGGCTGCAGTCGCTCACACCAGGGTGGATCCAGCTCAGATCTCGCTGGTCTGAGACCTCAGGGTGCCCAGACCCTGGCCTGACAGAGCTCAAGGGCCCAGATCCCATCAGCTAGAATCTAGCTGATGGGATCTGTCTAGCTGCTAGACAGAGGCACCACCCACCGGCAAGGGAAGTGTCAGGGAAAGGATAGACCTAATGTTCCGGGGTGCCAAGACACAACCTGACAGATAAACAGACACATACATAAACAACCACATACTCTCACAACACCCACTCAACCTCCTCATACACACACCACACCCTCTGGTCCAGGTACTGCTGCCCAGATAATGCAACCAGTCCCAGACCCAGGAGATGGGTGGTTTTGTTTTATGGGGCAATGATGACCAGACAACCCCGCTCAACGCAGGGTAAAGCAAACCACCACCCAGACCTCTACCAGACGGCCAGCTCCCACACAGCCTCCACTCCTGGGTAGCAAACAGCGAACAGAGATGTAAGAATATCCCAATGTCATGGTCTGGGGAAGGCGCTTAACCCAGGACAGGCAGAATCACAACACAACTCACGGGTTTTAAACAAAATGATGAAAGTTTATTTATATAACGAGAACATAAGGCGCACTGGAAATTCCAGCGGTGGTTGGGAGAACGGAGCGCAGCGTCTGAGGAGGGGGAGAGCAGATAAAGGTGAGTCCTGAGAGGTGCAGAGAAAAGACTTACAGGGAATTTGGTAGGTGGAGGTATAGGGAAGGGCAGATCTAGAGTCGGGGTGTGTCCAGGTGAGTAGGTCCAGGTTCAGGTCCAAGAGAGGGAGCGTGTGGAGAGCAGGTGAGTGGAGGAGAACACCAGAGCGCTGAGTCTGGAAGGTTTATGTAGAAGGTGAGTATCCAGGTGAGTGACAGAATCCAGAGATGTTTCTGCACCAGTGATGATCCAAAATCCTGAGGCAGTCGAGAGCAACACAAAATTACAAAAATCAATAAATCCCAAAAGTCACAAGAGTCACAAAAACACTAGATCACTGGAAGGCTGGAAAACTACCAAGTTGTAGTAATCATCCCGCGTCAAGGTGTGTTCTCCCACTCCTTAAGTAGCTGGTAACGCTGATTGTTAATCTGCCACAGCTGGAAGCCTCCCTCTCCTGAAACACAACTCAAAGCTGGAATGTTTGAGAGAAGTACTCACCCCGAGTCATGACAGTACCCCCCCCCCCCCCCCCCCCAACGGATGCCTCCTGGCGTCCCGGCAGATGCCGCCTCAAAGTCCCTGATAAGGGACGGATCCTCAATAAAGGGACGCGGAACCCAGGAGCGTTCCTCAGGATCGTACCCCTCCCAGTCAATGAGAAACTGGGTGCCCCGGCCACGAGGTCGGAGTCCAAAATCCGGCGGACAGAATAAACAAGACCCCCCCTTGTAGAACCTTGCCGGTGGAGGAGGAGCAGGTGTGGGGCAGAGATGACTCGTGGTCACTGGTTTCACCAAGGATACGTGGAACACTGGGTAGACCTTGAGTGAGTGAGGAAGGTCCAGCCGGACTGTGGAGGGAGTGGGGATATCCAGGATCTTGACAGGACCCAGAAACCTGGGTGACAGATTGCGGTTGGTTGCTTTCAGGGGGTTATCCTTAGAGGAAAGCCAGACCTCCTGACCAGGAACGTAATCTGGAGCTGGACGCCGCCGGTGATCAGCCAACCGCTTGTTGTTTTCAGCAGTTCCGTCCAAGGCCGCCCGGGTGGAGGCCCAAGCCCGTTTGGCCCCCCGAAGGATCTGTGGAAAGGGCTGGAGACTGTGGAGGGAACAGGGAAGGTTGATAACCCAAGAAGGACTCAAAAGGGGACTGACCTGTTGCGGTAGAGACATGGGAATTGTGTGCGTATTCGATCCAAGCGAGGTGTGAACTCCAAGACGATGGATGAGCGGAACATAAACAACATAACATTGCCCCGAGTTCTTGATTCATCTGCTCGCATTGGCCATTTGTCTGAGGATGGTGTCCAGATGTTAGAGCGACTCGAGCCCCCAGAGCCTCTGCGAACTCTCTCCAGACTCTGGAAATAAACTGGGGTCCTCGATCCGACAAAATCTCCTCCGGGATACCGTACAAATGGAAAACATGTTTGATCAGTAGTCTGGCTGTGACTGTAGATGAAGGGAGAGACTTTAAGGGAATGAGATGGCAGGCTTTAGAGAATCTGTCTACAATGGTAAGTATGGTGTTAAACCCCTGAGAATTCGGCAGACCACATACAAAATCCAGAGCCACATGAGACCATGGTCGAGAGGGGATCGGTAGTGGGTTCAGAAGTCCTGCTTGAGCCTGGTGGCCTCCCTTCTGCTGAGCACAAATGTGACAACCAGAAATATAGTTGTTGATATCCCTGTACATGGAAGGCCACCAGAACGTACGTCTGATGAGTGCTATTTTTCGTCCAACTTCGGGATGGAGTGAAAATCTGCCGGTATGTGCCCAATGAATAACCTTGCCTCTCACCGCCTGCGGAACCTAAAGTCTGCCAGGGGATCCCCTACCTGGACCTGGATCGGTTCTCTGGGCCTCCAACACCTGGTCTCGGATTTCCCATGTTACTCCTCCCACCACACACGCAGGGGGCAGGATCGTGGAGAGTTCAGTCTCTTGGTCAGGAGCGTATTGCCTCGAGAGAGCATCTGGCTTGGTGTTCTTGGATCCGGGTCGGTATATCTGAAAATTAAAGCGAGAAAAGAAAAGGGGCCACCTGTATTGTCGTGGGTTGAGTCTTTTAGCCTCTCTGAGGTAGACCAGATTTTTATGATTAGTCCAGATGATGAAGGGGATCTCAGCACCCCAGATAAAAGTTAATTTATATAACGAGAACATAAGGTGCACTGGAAATTCCAGCGGTGGTTGGGAGAACGGAGCGCAGCGTCTGAGGAAGGGGAGAGCAGATAAAGGTGAGTCCTGAGAGGTAAGTCTTAACTGGTAAGGTGCAGAGAAAAGACTTACAGGTAATTTGGTTGGTGGAGGTATATGGAAGGGCAGATCTAGAGTCGGGTGTGTCCAGGTGAGTAGATCCAGGAGAGGGAGCGTGTGGAGAGCAGGTGAGCGGAGCGGATGGAGGAGAACACCAGAGCGCTGAGTCCGGAAGGTTTATGTAGAAGGTGAGTATCCAGGTGAGTAACAGAATCCAGAGATGTTTCTGCACCAGTGATGATCCAAAATCCTGAGGCAGTCGAGAGCAACACAAAATTACAAAAATCAATAAATCCCAAAAGTCACAAAAACACTAGATCACTGGAAGGCTGGAAAACTACCAAGTTGTAGTAATCATCCCGCGTCAAGGTGTGTTCTCCCACTCCTTAAGTAGCTGGTAACGCTGATTGTTAATCTGCCACAGCTGGAAGCCTCCCTCTCCTGAAACACAACTCAAAGCTGGAATGTTTGAGAGGAGTACTCACCCCGAGTCATGACACCCAAGGCTCCCTTGGCTGCTCCAATGTGCTGGTGATCGGTAAATACATTTCTGCTGATCGCTCATTTTTCTAAGTATTTCTTCATAATAAAGCATCATGAAAACAAAAAGCTGGCTCCTTTGTAATTGTATTGGGTTTTAAATATTAACAGTTCCAAATCAGTTGTTTGGAGGATCATCGAGAATGATAGAGGGGATTTTAAAGCAAGCCAATAAGGAAATAAATTCTAAAATATTCTATTTAATTTTAAAATAATTTTTCATACGTGTTACCACTCATCAGTTTGTGCAAAATCTGCAACAACTTCTGAAAAATGTTGGGAAGTAATGAGTTAATGGACATCACATAATACAGTTTTTCTCAATTGCTAAAACACATTTCACAAACGTTTCCTCCGTGATCCCCACAAACACAACACTCTTTTCTAACACTACATAAACACAACCACACCTTCTCACTTCAAAACTCAAACTTGCACCGAAAGAGCAGCTTGAAGCTTTCAAAAATGTAAACACCATACACATCATTACACACTACAGCAAAACAATTGAAAACACAATGCTCAATTTGTGAGAAGGTTCTTTGTTTCATAACTGCCAATTTGCCCATTTTTAGAAACTTTACAGTTACGGATCTTCTTAGATCTCTGCAGAGGATTAGGCATTTAGATTTGTGAGTTTCATATGAAGAGTATAAATCTATAGAAAATTCTGCATGTACACTACTAAAACACAACTCAATGCAAAAACAGAATCTATTGCACAGAACAGTACTCTTGGAAACATGAGCAGGCTGTGAAATTTTTTTAATTTACTTTATTCACAACACACACAAACACACACACACACACACGCACCACAATCACTGTGCGGCATCATGTCGCTGAGCTGCATCGGGCCACATCACCTCATCCACATCGCAAGCTATATTGTCTCTTGCCAGGCACTGCGGGAAAAACGCCCTGGAATGGCGAATCCATCCTTGTAAGGCCTCCACTGGGATGTCACCACAGGCCAGCTCCATTGCCCTTAGGAGGTCCTCTCTAGTGTATGGTTGTCTGTCATACACCTTCCATCTCCACGATGAGAAGAACTCCTCTATAGGGTTCAGGAAAGGGGAGTAGGTTGGCAGACAGACGTTTAAAAAGTGGTCACTGTTGGTGGTGAACCACTCTCTGATTTGGTTTGTTCTGTGGAAGCGGACATTGTCCCAAATTTTCACAAAAATGTGATGTGCGGGCCCAGGATGGTGTTGTTGGCGGTCCAGGAGGATGTCTTTCAGCTCCTCTAGGAAGGTGAGGAGATGTGATCACAGCATTAGCAACAAGTGTCTTCAATTTTGAGTCGGTGTGTGTAATGAATGACGACAGGTGTGTTCACTGTGTTCAATTAGTGCTGACTGTGGCAAGCATTTGGCATCACATGAGCTTTCATTTGAGAATATGAGCAGAGTTCTTTTGCAACTTGTGTTTTAGCAAGGAAAAATGTGTTTAGATTTATGAGAACGGAGGATTGTGTTTTGTGTATTGTGTCTTCATGTGAAATGTGTTTATGATGTTGGAAAATGATGGCTAGATATAGTAAATGTGTTTAGACAACTGGTCATTTGGTTTAGAGGATTGGCTTTTGTGTTTTAGCAATTGAGAAAAACTGTAACAATGATGATGATGATGATGATGATGATAATAATAATAATAATAATAATAATAACAACATGATATCAGTGCAATGCAATGTCTTTTGGTGTGTGGGATCTTGTTTGCTTTGCTTTTCCAAAATTATATTACCCTGTTATTTTTTTAACACTCCACAATGAATTAATCTAAATAATTATTATTTTTCACTAAATAGATATCTTTAAAGCCAGAAAACCTGCAACCACTTAGAAGTAGGAATTAATTTTTCACATTATCACTGTGACATCTGTTCAGTAAATCCAGTTATTTGCATATTTGTTTTCTCCACAGTCACAGCGTCCTCCTCAGGCCAATATGAAAATAACTGCAAAAGCTCTGTTAAATTTGTATTTCCCTTTGTTGCTTTCAGAATAAAATGAAAAATGATAAAAGCACATATTATGATCTGTATCATAACAACAGAGAGGGTGGTGCACAGAAGACAGAGACAGAAGAACCAATCAATGTGTTTGGCTGATAAGATTAACAAGATAATGTTATAGAATAATCTAATTGAGTCTACTGAGCCGTATCTGGTGTGAATCGCCTTTCCTTGTTAACATCATTGTAACATGGTAATGCTGCTGCTGATGAGATACTGATCTCCAAAAAAGGCTTTACTCCAAGCCACCTGGTTTGTCTGCCCTTTAACCTTTTAATTCACCATCCTTATGCTGCAACACGTCTATTTTACATGACTCTGGGGAAAAAGCTGATGGCAGGTGTGCAAATCTAAAGGTCACCTTGAGAAGTGAAAAAAACATTTTTTGGAGGGGTTTGGGGTGTCTCGAGTTACCGGTCAGTCCATGTTCCAGCCCTCACCTATGGACACGAGCTTTGGGTAGTGATCAAAAGAATGAGATGGCAGACACAAGCGGCCAAAATCATTGAATTTCTCCACAGGGTGTCTGGGCTCTCCCTTAGAGATAGGGTGAGAAGCTTGGTTATCTAGGAGGAGCTCGGAGTAGATCTGCTCCTCCTCCACATGGAGAGGGGCCAGTTGAGGTGGCCTCGGGCATCTGGTTACGATGCCTCCATAGTGAGGTTTTCTGGGCACGTCCAACTGAGAGGAGGCCTAAAGGAAGACCTGGGACACTCTGGAGGGACTGTGTCTGTGGCCAGGGAACACCTTGGGATTCCCCTGGAGGAGCTGGCCCAAGTGGCTGGGGAGATGGAAGTCTTAGGCTACTGCCCCTGTGACCCAACCCCGAATAAGCGGAAGAGAATGCATAGATGGGTGGATGGAGGGGTTTTTGGGATGTGTGCACAAACACACACACTCAGTGGGCCTCATAGTTTCCATAATTTATTGTCTTACTACTTTCTGTGTTTCTCTAGGATCCAGCGAGACAAGGACTTTGCCACAAAGAAGGCTGAGAGGGCAAATCTAAGAATCGCACTCAGAGATAAATATCGTCTGCCAGATGTGAGAAAACTTTCATCTCTATTTGTCCAAAAAACATACGTTTTCACAAACGGAGAAAAGGTGGTCTAAGTTTGACGAAGCAACAACTCTACTTGTTACGACCCTTTGGGCTGATCTAGGGATGAAGGAAAGGGTAGCATACTTTTTATTTTATTTTATAAAATGTCATTTGAATATTTAAATTAGAGCAGGATTTGGCAGAGGTGCACACATTTCTGCATGTGGATGACTCTACATTAGAATTTAGCAATATAGCTAAAGGTCAGTGGATTGTCTGAGATTTTGAGTAATAAAAAGCATAAACCAGATTTCCTTTTCATCAATCACATATAACGCAGTTGTAGAGCTGGTTTGAATGCACAGAAACATGTATTCTCAAAAGCCTTCTTAAAAATCACATATAAACCTGCTGTTTCTTTGAATTATGGAAGACAAGAACCACGACAAATGCCATGCAGAAAGAGTAATCTATTTGAATTACAAAATAATTGCTGCCAAAGTAATAACACTAAATTGCACTTTTCTTACACAAGTTATATTAAAAAAAATATCATCAGTTGGTTAAATTCAATTGGTTACTTTTTTTGCCAACAATTAATATAACAAGTGCACAAATAACCATCTCCAGATCCTAATTTTCCTTTCTGCTTTTACAACACTTTATCTTTATTTCTGAACAGAGTGCTCAAGACAGTGCAGCAGTTCAGATGGCTGGTGATGACGTTGACCTGCCGGAGGAGTTGGCAAAAATGGTGGATGAAGATGAGGAGGAGGAGGAAGAGACAAACAACTCATTCATCAATAAGCTTCATAGCATGGATCTGGACACACTGAAAACCAAGGCTCAGAGCACAATGACAGAGTTTAAACAGACGGCAGAGGACAAGTGTTCACTTATGTGATACAGAAATTTACACTGACGTCCAGATAAACATATTTTATTTTGACTTTTCACAGTCATCAATTTTTTTCTCCTATTTGTTTTAGAAACACTTTTGAATGCTTGGTATAATTTCTAATCATTTATTTTATTTTTACATCTGCTGTTTTATTTCACTGTATTCTCTATTGAAATAAATAAAATAAAATAAATAAATAAATCCTATCAAAAAATTGTCTTTATGTGAGACTCACTGATAAGATTTACTTGAACCATTTGGGTAATAAAGAATAAAGCAGGTTTAGCAAATGGATCAATCAGTTTTTCTACAAACAATTTTGAGCTAAATTAAGAGTTGAAAAAGACCACATCATTTGCAACATTGTTTATTGGAAATTTATTTTAAATATGAAACAATATTTTTATAATTTGAGAAGCTGAACACGCTGCAGTGGAGTCAGCTTTTTAACCAATTTTTTTAATGATGTTGATGGTGCAATATGTAAGAATTAAGTAAGAATTCTACAGAGAAATAGTCGCAAAACAGTATAAGATCTCAAACATGTTGGAAGGAAGATTATACAGAAAAAAACGTATTGTGAGGCAGCTGGGGGTTGTCATTTTTTTTCCTTTCAATATAAAAGAAGAGAGGGATGCAGCTAATGTTTACTACTATTGAGTGAGAGGTGACCGTGTTTCCTGCAAGCTAACGCTGTGGTACTGGCATTTGTAGTTCGACTATCAATGACAGACTATCATCAAAAAGTTCCAGAGTTGTTTCAAGAACCTAAGCCAGAAACAAGAACGACCCAAAAGTTATTTCTTGTACCCCTAAGAAGCCACTACATCTTTCTGTTTTACTCTAATAACAGGTAAAGTAGTCTAGAGGCTAACGTCGAGCTAACAATGCTAATGGTGAATTAGAAGCAAATAGGCGGCTCTAAAAACTATTGTAGCGGAATATAGTTGGTATATTCTTACACTTTTATTAAGGTCCAGAGATATCACTGATCCACACCTGAGCTGGATCATTAATCTTTGGACCGGGCCCTTAGAATCACAAGAGGTTGTTTTTACTACAGGGAATTTTATTCAAACATTTTGTATTGAATTAGAGACAAGAAGAGAGAGAGAGATGGGACATTTAAGAATATTTATTATATAATTATTTGAAACAATCACCAGGGCTAACTCTCTAATGATGGATGCAGATGAATGCTGAAGTGTTGGTGTGTGTGTGTCAGTTCAGAATCTCCATCTGGTGGAGGCGAGTCTGAGTGCGAGATGTTGTTTGCCCTAACTGACCGACGATGGACTTCAGGAGGAAGACATGAGACGCGATCTATGCCGATCTACGTACCGTGCGGAGACTTCCGTGTTAGATCCGGATGCCAGGTTCTCGGACCCTCCTTGTGCTGGAACTGGTGAAACAGCGTCGGCAGCACGACAAACCAGTCTAAGGATCGTCTCCCGGTACAACGGCAGGTTTCCAGCGTCACGTAGAGACAGTTCAGCTTTTATTCTGAAGGAACCGTCGTCTTGTTGATAAAACAACAGAATTTTCCAGCTTGACAGTTCTCAGCTTAAAAGTAGAAAATACAGCTGGCCAGTCTGTACTTCACTTAGCGATAATGGACATCAGATGGATTTGAGAGCTGGTCGAGTACTTGGTTGGAACTGCATTGAACCAAGTTGAACTACGTTGAAAAACTGAATTAAAATGGCGTTGTTCTGTTTTATTAAGCTTAGTTGTTTATGATTCTTAGCGAATCGGAGTGGACAGATTAACTAAACACCACAGAGCTCTGTCACTCATCAGAAAGGAAGTTCTGATTGGATGAGTGAACATTGTGTCATGTGTTTATCTTATGTGAATCAGGATGTCTAGCTCAGTTAGCCCAAAGTTCTGTTATTCATTAAACACATAAATCATAACATTGTGATTTCACAGATCAGTCACCTGATTATTATTGACCAACAGTTGTTTTGATTAGCTTTATTAGAAATAAAGTTCTTTGATTAACTAATGAAAAGCGTTCTTCGTCCTTCTTCTGTCTTCTTTGCTGGAATGTAAACATCACAAGCAAGCGCACGACCTTGGCAATTTATGCACACTGTCACTGTGTCAAAGGGCAGCTGTTAAGGGCAGAAATGGCATATTCATAACGCTACACTATTTCAAGCTACTTTTTAAATTTTGAACTACGTGATATTACAGTGAAGTGTGTGTGTGTGTGTGTGTGTGTGTGTGTGTGTGTGTGTGTGTGTGTGTGTGTGTGTGTGTGTGTGTGTGTGTGTGTGTGTGTGTGTGTGTGTGTGTGTGTGTGTGTGTGTGTGTGTGTGTGTGTGTGTGTGTGTGTGAAGTGAATAATGGGTCAAATAAGGCATTTTACTAACTTAGATGAGTCATTCAGAGTAATAACAGTGAGCTAACGGCTGACACTTTCACTAATGTCAGAGGCATATTACTGTAGTAATTGTAGTAAGTGCTCCTTACTCTAAAACATTCAAGAGTGCTAGCACCAGATATGTATTTTTCTACTTACTGTGTATGACGCGTCTTTGCTTGTTATCTAGAATCTTCTGGTGCGGATCTGTGACTGGCAACAGCCACGAAACTCACAGAACAGGAGTGAGAGAGTGATTACAGTAACCAAATTTGACCACAAGATGTTATTTTTACTACATTCCCACATATTGCACCTTTACCCATCCCTTTCCTGCGTGTCCCTGTCCCTCCTGTAGATGACCATCCCCCTTTTCCCCTTGTAAGCTGACACAGCGCCTTTAAACGTTAGCTGCTTTCTTCCTAATAGGATCTCAGGGACTTACATTGTCATCTGATAAAACTAAGGCGCTTGATAGCTGTGCTGCGCCCTCTTAAGCAATTTGCACTCAATTAGGATAATGGGGAAACAAGCAAAGAGGGACAGCTTTAATATATTAATGTGATAAAATGATTATCAGTTTCTCTTGCCTATGACTTGGGTGCTATTAAGAGCATCTCAGAAGGCTCATATTGATATTAGCCAATAATGAAGGGGGCTAAGCTTTACAAATCACACATATTTAATAAATAAGACTGGGTTCAATATTATTTTTCAAACGTAAAAACAGCAATTCAAAGCACAGATGTGAGATCAGATATTAACAGGTGAGTTATACTGTGGTGGCTTGTTCAAACATTTAATGAAACTCAAATATCATCACCTATCCACTGATTGTTTATTTGTTTTTATAAGAGATGAGGAACTTATTTGCAGTTTCAGTGCAATGATCTGTAATCTGCTAAATGGTCCTTCTGCATGAACATAACACAAAACACTTTTTTATGTATCTTCTACTGATTCAACCTTTGTACATTCCTGACTAACTGATGCCTGACTTTCTTTATGGTCACCATATGGCAGCAACCTGCTCGTTGACAAATCCCCTGCTGTGCGGGCATCTTTAAGTTCTTTATTTCATTCAAAGGCAAAAGTAATGGGCTTTTCAAACTCTCCGTTTTTGGAAAGCAACTTTGACAACCAAGAAAATGTAGGCAACCAAAGCCACTAAACCCACAGCCAGTCTGCTAATAGAGAGCAGTGGCAGGTCTTTAAGTTGTTAGCAATTAAAACACAGACCAGCTCCGCTGCTTAAGCATGACTCCTGGACATTGATGCATTTCTTATTTTCTGCAGTTCACGTCAGGACATTTATTATTTCTGATTATAATTGGTCACTCTGAGCTTTTCATGCGGGCTGAACATGAAAATGATCTCCTAAACATATCTTTTGCATTAGCTTCTGATAGAATTTCTAAGATTTGAAAAACGTGACAAATCTGCATCACACCATTAAGTAACATGGACTCACTCCTCTTGACTCACGGCAGGGAAGGTTGTTGTTGATTTATTGTCCGAGCGATCAGAGAACATCTTGGCTAGTAGAAGCTAACTGTTAGCATTAGCAACTCCTCCACACCTCAGAACTCCTCCATGCTTGAGTTATTTGTGGAGATAAAACATCCATGTTGCAGAGCAAATGGAGTCAGTGGTAGAGTTGCATTCTTGTTAGCCAATTCAAGGCGTTCCAATTCAAGGCAAGATGTCCAAGAATCAGGAATAATGACTCCAAATCCTGCCGTGTTAAACTCCCTTCTGATGTGGCATTCTGCTAGTTCCTGAAACAGGTGCATCTGAGCAAACACAACTTGCAATGCACTCATCCTTATTAGAGACCACTGAAAGTGTTGATTAAATGAGTGTTCTACAACGTTAAAGATACATTGCTGGGATATTAATTTAAAAATTTTGCATTGCACTTGCAGGCAGTGACCTCTAATGTCATAAAATGTCACATTTTTGTCCAAAAAATTAAAAAATTGTGCATTAACAGGAAAATTGATGAAAAATATTATATATTTTTATGTAAGTGGCCAAAATTTATAATATTTTTAAAGTGTTAACAAGAAGCAAAAACATTTTCATATAGATAATCTCACAACATAAAATAGCTCCTTAACTGATATGAATTAACTCAGATTTCAGCCCTAGAAATGTTTCATTTGAATACAGAAAGTTTCCCGAAGAGCTACTTCTGCATCTATTTTCCATGTTGGGTTTTGTGTTTGACGTACAAGAGACTCCTAAATATATCTTCAGGTAGGAGGAGTGAGGTCAGAGGAAATCTCTCGTGAAGTCTTTAGGCTCATTAAGTATGGGATTGATCTCTGCAACACCTACTAGAGCGGCAGCTTTGGTTGCACCAGCTGGCAAAGGAGAAACTTACAGGCTGTAGGAAAAAAAAGTCCTGATGTCCCCCACCTAAATCCACCCAGGATTATTGGACAGTTTTTTTTAACCTCATATATTTGACACTACATGGATCTAATTTATGGTCTTAAAATAGTTCCGAGAATAACTTCCTTTTAAACTGTTCTAAGTGCAAAGTTGCGTTATATTTTTCTCTGTAGGCCTATAATTTAATGGCATTGTAACCCTAACCCTAATCTATAAGAATTAAACTTTAAATAATTTTAAAAAATTGCTTTAAAATCAAGTGTTTCTATCAAAAACTAATTCATAAAGCCTTTACTGTGTGCAGCCATCCACTCTAAAAGTCCATCCCTGTGCCTTTCCTTCCTAACATTGTCTATAATGAAGAGATTACTGAAACTTTCAATGCAAGCTATTCTCTTTCAGACAATAGATTTTTTGAAAGAAAGTTTTGTTGAAGCTTCATTAGCAAAGGCCTCCCTCTGTGGTCTGAAAGCAGGACACATTTGGAGCAATTACTTGACCAGAAAACAACTGTCAGTCATTCTTAAAGGGGAAGGATTCCAATTAATAAACCTCTTAAACCCTTTGGTTTTACTACCATTCCCCCCACCAGCTTTGGTGTCTCATGTTGTTAAGGAGAGTTTTGTCAGGAGAGAAAGACATTATGTGTTGTTGCACAGATCTGCAGCATTAGGTCCCTTGCTCTATTGTTTGCAGGGGATTTCGAGGACTTAGCTGGGACTAACAAGTACCTACAGTAGATGTTAGTGTTGTTTGCCTACTTATGGACCGCAAAGACATTGTGTGTGTGATGTGTGGTCTGTGCCGGGAAACTTAAGAAAGGTAAGATCATTTTTTTCTTTGTGGAAATAAAATAAATGGCTTAATTTTCTCACAGTGATTCAAAAACCCACCAGGTGAAAATTTTTATTTACCCATAATTGATATTGATCAGATTTTATATAATAATGAGTATAAGCTGAAACCACTGATATTGACAATAAGTGTGCATGTGCAACAGAAATATTCTCTGACTAAGTTTTTATCTGCTTTTGTAATAAAGGATGTAGGAAACTGCAGAACTAAGTTCGAAAATGGGCATGACTAAGTCTTAACGTTGTTCATAAACATTGACATCACGTATTAAATTTCAAGTTTTTAAGTATTTGGAACAATTACACTTGTATGCTATTAAACAACCAATTGGCTATAAGACCACAGCTTAAATATTCGTCTTCTTTTCCCTTTTATATTGCAGACAAAGATGCAAGTAGGTTGTGCTTTTGTGGAAACAATCCATTCAACTTTGATGAAATAATTCTTGGAGAACACAAACCCAGCACTTCATTGGTCCCAGCAACTCTAATTTTCAACTCCCTTTACTCAGGTGGTATCTTTTTTGTTTTTGACAAGAAAAAGAGACAGTGTTCCCAAAGGCTCGGATGCATTTGTCAATGGATACTCTTGGAATGGTGGACGACAGCGGGCATGGAATAGTGGACAGCTATGAAATGGCAAAAGGTGCCGGGTCGAGCAGTGGAGGCAGGGTTCACAGCATTGATGTCATTTTGGGATTCACTAAAGACCAGGAGTCTTTACTACAAGGTGGGGAAAGCCCAAGAGACCATGGAGCAAACCCACAGGATCCTGAAAAGCATGTCCCATCAGACCCGTACGGGCACCTTCCAGAGCTCGGTGACGGCTCCCAGCATTCTTCTTACCACGGTAAGTCTGCTTCCACCGGTAGTCCAAAAGCAGCTTCTCAGTTTTATTTTGATCGTTATCTTTCTAAATGAACTCTAACAGCGGCAGTGGTGGAAAATGTTAAAAGAGAACGAATATTTGGTCATATTCGGGTATGCTGACACTCTGATGATAATTTAAGAAACTTTAGACAAAGCAAATCACTTTCAACCAAGATGGATTTTCATTTTTAACGAACAACAAAAATCTGTCAGAGAGGTCAAACCCAGGTTTCTCTTCTGATATGAACGACGGCCACATGTTTTAAGTCCAGGGTCTGATGTAGGCTACATGGAACTTCACTAACTCAACTGAATGAACTGAAGGCAGCATTAATCTGTTATATCCATACCCTTCTTGATACATTGATCATGACAAAAGCATGCTTTAAGAAAGCTGGTCTTTTTTATTCCTGCAGTATTTTTGATCATTTTTGGATTACTGAGCAAATAACATCATTGCATTAGAACAATTTTAGTCCATGAGCCTTAGCAGGCATGTTGCGGGTCAATGTGACTGTTCAACTACAGGAGTGAAGGCTGTTTGAAACAGAGTTTATGGTTCATTCAGTTTTATTTAAATTTAAGTGTACACTACAGCTTCTACCATGACACCAGAGAACATGTTCAATAATCATTTAATGCTGCAATAACTAAATGCAAGTGATAAAACTGTGTTGTGTGATTTAATCATGAACAAAATCTGCTTTAACTTTGATTACTTTTGATAATAATGGCACCCAGTATAGTAGTTAGGTAACAGTACAAGAGTTAAATACTTGGTCTACACTGTTGGGAAAATCATCACAGCTACATTCTCTAAAGCCATTCAAAGACATTATGAACTTCTTTTAGACCTTTGTATTTTCATCTCACACAAGCTACAAATGCTGGGTTTTTTTTGGGTTTTTTTTTTTGGGGGGGGGGGGGGGGCATCAGGATTAGCACCTTCATCAAAAACCTCCAGTTCTATATCCAGTACATGCTTACTGTCCTCCATTGGAGCATCTACAGGTGGCAAGGGCCAATTTCATTTTTTCATTACAGCCATATTTATCAAATAAAATAAAACACATTATTATGTAGCTACATTCAACAAAAATATGAACGCAACACCTTTGTTTCTGCTCCGATTTTTCATGAGATGGACTTAAAGATCTAAAATTCATTCCAGATACACAATATTACCATTTCTCTCAAACATTGCTCACAAATCAGTCTAAATGTGTGATAGTGAGCATCAGTGCTTTGCTGAGATAATCCATTCACAGGTGTGCCACATCAAGATGCTGATCTGACATAATGAGTAGTGCACAGGTGTACCTTATACTGCCCACAATAAAAGACCACCCTGGAATGTGCAGTTTTTTTGCTTTATTGGGGATCTGGGGGCTCAGAACTGGTCAGTATCTGGTGTGACCACCATTTGCCTGATGCAGTGCAACACATCTTTTTCGCATAGAGTTTATCAGATCGTCAATTGTGGCCTGTGGAATGTTGGTCCACTCCTCTTCAATGGCTGTGCGAAATTGTTGGATATTAGTGGGAACTGGTACACACTGTCGTATACGCCGGTCAAGCACATCCCAAACATGCTCAACGGGTGACATGTCTGGTGAGTATGCTGGCCATGCAAGAACTGGGACATTTCCAGCTTCCAAGAATTGTGTACAGATCCTTGCAACATGGTGCATTATCTTGCTGAAACATGAGGTGATGTTCATGGATGTACGGCACAACAATGGGCCTCAGGATCTCATCACGGTATCTCTGTGCATTCAAAATGCCATCAATAAAATGCACCTGTGTTCTTCGTCCATAACAGATGCCTGCCCATACCATATCCCCACCACCACCATGGGCCACTCGATCCACAACATTGACATCAGCAAAGCACTCACCCACACGACGCCACACACGCTGTCTGCCATCTTCCCTGAACAATGTAATCCGAGAATTAATCTGTGAAGAGAACACCTCTCCAACATGCCAGACGCCATCGAATGTGAGCATTTGCCCACTCAAGTCTGTTACGGCGACGAGCTGGAGTCAGGTCAAGACCCCGATGAGGACGACGAGCATGCAGTTGAGCTTCCCTGAGACGGTTTCTGACAGTTTGTGCAGAAATTGTTTAGTTGTGCAAACCAATTGTTTCAGCGGCTGTCTGAGTGGCTGGTCTCAGACGATCTTGGAGGTAAACATGTTGGATGTGGAGGTCCTGGGCTGGTGTGGTTACACGTCGTCTGCGATTGTGAGGCCGGTTGTATGTACTGCCATATTCTCTGAAACGCCTTTGGAGACGGCTTATGGTGGAGAAATTAACATTCAATGCACGAGCAACAGATCTGGTTAACATTCCTGCTGTCAGCATGCCAATTGCATGCTCCCTCAATGCTTGTGGCATCTGTGGAATTTTGCTGTGAGACAAAACTGCACATTCCAGGGTGGCCTTTTATTGTGGGCAGTATAAGGTACACCTGTGCACTACTCATTATGTCAGATCAGCATCTTGATGTGGCACACCTGTGAGGTGGGATGGATTATATCAGCAAAGCAGAAGTGCTCACTATCACACATTTAAACTGATTTGTGAACAATGTTTGAGAGAAATGGTAATATTGTGTATCTGGAATGAATTTTAGATCTTTAAGTCCATCTCATGAAAAATAGAGCAGAAACAAAGGTGTTGTGTTTATATTTTTGTTGAGTGAATTTTATGAACATTAACCAATAAATATTTCTGTCTTAAAAAATAGATATTTTAAAACTTTTTTCTCATATTTCAGATTTTAAAGGATTAAAGTTTCAATTTGAGTTGGATACATAATGCTGATGGACGTAAGAAGTCATCATTTCTCTTTTGTCCATTTCTAAAATCAACAATGTTCTATTCAGTATGAATGATAAGCTTTATCGTCGCTGGGGCGACGGTGGCACAGGAGTTAAGTGCTCGCCTCGCAATCGGAAGGTCGCAGGTTCGACACCCGCTCAGTCTGTCGCTGTCGTTGTGTCCTTGGGCAAGACACTTAACCCACGTTGCCTGCTGGTGGTGGTCGGAGGGACCGGTGGCGCCAGTGCTCGGCAGCCTCGCCTCTGTCAGTGCGCCCCAGGGCAGCTGTGGCTACATCGTAGCTCATCCCCACCAGTGTGTGAATGTGTGTGTGAATGGGTGAATGACTGATTGTGTTGTAAAGCGCCTTGGGGGGTTCCAGGACTCTAGAAGGCGCTATATCAAATACAGGCCATTTAATGCATTTGTTTTATAAAGCCTAATCTGAATCACGACTTTCTTTGTGTAGAATCCACCGAATGTCTCTAGATTAGACGAGTTGCAGGTTTAACATGCCACATCTGTCACTATGAGATTACAGCAAGAACAGGATTCAGTGAAAGAAGTGATGTGAGCAGAACTTAACTGTTATGAAACTTTTATTTAAAAAGTAATTTTCCTGGAAAACTGTACATCTAGAGACACCTGCTCATGAAACATTATTTAACCTGTTTTTAAACTAAAACAAATTTCAATTTTCAATGATAATGCATTTATTAAGAATTTTTTTAAGTTCAAAGAATTCACATTCATATTTTTGTCTGAAAATCTGTGCAAAGCGCAAATGTAATGCAACCTAAATGCTGCCAAAATCTTAAACTGTTCTTTTGTCCTCCACTTACTTGAGTGCTTCAGTCAAAGTCACTTTAGTATTGTTTCTCCAGAACTATACGTGTGTATCTGGATGCCTGGAGAACATGCAGATGACTGAAGTTATAGTGCTAAAGCTAATTTATCTAATATTTCTTTTTAGAATCTGACCTTTTCTCCAATGACAAGTGTGATGGAGAAATTAGCAGCCTGCACAAGGATGTAGATGCTTCTGAGGGGTCTCCGGAGATGAGTAAAGATGACGAGCACGCTAAGAAGAAACACAGAAGAAACCGCACCACCTTCACCACTTATCAGCTGCATGAGCTGGAGCGAGCCTTTGAGAAGTCCCACTACCCAGATGTCTACAGTCGTGAGGAACTGGCGATGAAGGTCAACCTCCCTGAAGTTCGAGTTCAGGTAAAGAGCTGACAAAAATTACAAACTGACTAATAGTGACTAGTATTTCTGTGGAAACAGGAGAAGCTAGCCAGTAAATCTTGAGCAGAGATTTTTAAGTCTGATGCAGTCTCTTCAGCTGCAAGACTGTCTTTGCTTTTTTTGAATTGAGCATTAAACAATTTAAACTGGTTTCAAATCAGACTTTTAGGAGACAGTTCCAGCTCTCAGATTATATTGCACCATCTTTGGTGTTATGTAGAATAATGGAATAATTTGCATTCAGTGAAGTCCTTAATGGTCAGCTTCACTAAAAAAAATTTTAAGATTTTTTCTGATTATAATCGGTCACTCTGAGATTTTTATGCAGGATGAACATGAGAATAGTCTCCTACACCTACCTCCATTAGCTTCTGATAGAAAATAGATGGGGTTATTCAATTTCGGGTCTCAAGGGCTGGTATCCAGCACGTTTTGGTTTTAACCTTCCTTCAACACACCTGATTTCAATCAGCAGATGATTAACAGGCTTCTGCAGAGCCTGATGAGCTGCTGCACAGGTGAGTCAACCACTGAATCCAGTGTGTTGGACCAGAGAAACCACTAAAACCTGGAAACCGGCCCTCGAGGCTCAGAATTGAATAGCCTACTCTAGGATTTGAAAAGACGGACAGATCTAAGTCACATGGACTCACCCATCTTGGCTCACAACAAGGAAGGCTGTTGTTGGTTAAGCATCCAGGAAATAACAGAGAATATCTCGACTAGTAGAAGCAAAATGTTGGCATTAGCAACTCCACCACACAGCAGAACTCCTCCAGGCTTGTGTTATTTGAGGAGATTTTGCATAAAATAAAACATGTTCCTATATGACAACATGCATTTTAATGTAAGAAGACATTTACAAGAGTGTTACCTTTAACATCAATCAGAGAAGTTGAATTGCTTCTACGTATGAAATGTGCTATATAAATAAAGCTGCCTAGGCTTGTCTAGTGTAAAGGGATACATTTTGCCTTGTCCAGGTGTGGTTCCAGAATCGACGAGCTAAGTGGAGACGTCAAGAAAAGATGGACACCAGCACCATGAAACTCCATGACTCCCCCATGCTGTCGTTTAATCGTCCACCAATGCCTCCCAACGTGGGGCCAGTGGCCAGCCCGATGCCCCTGGATCCCTGGCTAAGCTCGCCAATCTCCAGTGCCACACCCATGCATAGCATTCCAGGCTTCATGGGCTCACCGCAGGCTCTGCAGCCGACCTATTCCAGTCACAGCTTCCTCAATAGCCCACCTGGCATGGTCCAAAGCATGCAGCCCATGGGCCCACCTCCCTATCAGTGTGCACCGAGCTTCAATGATAAATATCCCATGGAGGACGACAGGAGTTCCAGCATCGCAGCACTCAGAATGAAGGCTAAAGAGCACATTCAGTCAATGGATAAAACCTGGCAGCACATGTGATGTCTTACTCTAATTCTGGATCTACTCCTGTGAATGTTTACAAACTGCTTTTGATTTACGAAGGGGACATGTGGCACCAAAAATGTAAAAAAAAGGATATACATAGGATTTCATTAAATGGGTTTAGATTCAAATGTTTAGTGATACTTTTGTTTAGGTACAAAAAACAAACAAAAGACTTTTAATCTGCAGAAAATTTATACCTTGTATGGATTATAGATTGTAACTTGTCAGAAGTAGATATGTTTTACTTTTTTTGTTCAACTCAATGATATCTCATTGACAAATGGCAACAAATGTATAGAAATGGATTGTCTCAATTCGGGGGGGGGGGGGGGGGGGTTGACTTTTTTAGGGGTGTGTGGTAAAAAGTTTCTACAAAAAAAAAATAAACAAGCTGTTTCTAATGGTTTGACAGCATTTTCAAGCTTTTCTGATTATGTCTTCCAGAGGAATATTGGCCAATAAAGAAAGTTTTGAAAGTTTTGTATCTAGTTCATAAAGTCCTAATTGTTTAAGTTTGTTGACATGGTTGTTGTCCCTTCTATTTCTGTCTTTTGGGGATTTTGTCTTTTCTTATTTTGCAGTAAGTTAATATCTGGTTTTTAAGTTTAGGGAGCATAATGGGCACTTAAAGCCACTTTTTCCACTCAGATTTCACTTTGATACATGTTTAAAGGGAATGTGAGTCATTTAGATTAAAATAGCTTTTTGGAGAGTTCTGATGATGGAGGTTAACGGAAGTCACCGGGCGTAATCTTATTTGGAAGCTAATTTAAACGGACAAGCGTACCTCTTAACACCTAATTACTGCTTTTAAAGCGATTAACCCTGGATTCTTAGCCACAGACTGAATGGCCTCAAATACTCTCAAAAAAGGCATTTCGGTACAGCCCTGAAAGTGTATACCAATAACAGTTTAAGTGGCCCACAAACAAAATTGTTGATGGTAAATGATTCTTTTTATTGCAAATCTGGTGAAATCTGTGTCTGCATTTTTGTTCATTCTAAATAACCAAACTACAAGTATCTTATTTGTGAAGAAAGCAAACTGAAGAGAATGAATCAAATCATGCAACAATTAGAAGAGGATGAGCTGGTTGTGCGGTTATTGTGCCAATTTTCTTCAAATTTGTACATGAAGAGTAGGATATAAATCAATGTGCAAGGATGAACTACGCTTAGTCCTGTTTACTAAATGCAGACAAAAGTCAGAAAAGTGAGCGCAAAAAACTATCGCTTTAGTGGTTTCAGTTAAAATTCACCAACATCACTTAGATTAGATTGGCTTTATTCAACAGTAATAGTAGTCTGAGTCCTGCACTTTCGCCAGTATCATGACATCACTGCAAAGCTTTTAGATGTTGAGATGTGGAAATATTCCAGAGCTGAAGCCCTCAGTGATTACAGATTGTGCATGTCTGAACTATTTCTGAGTCTAAAGCTTGTGACAGCGCTATAAAAGGTGTGGTTTACTGAAAAAAACATTTTAAATGATTATTTCTGATTAGAATCTGTCACTCTGAGTTTTTCAGCATGCTGAACATGAAAATAGTGTCCTACACCTATCTCCTGCATTAGCTTCTGATGGAAATGTGAAACTCTGACATTTGAAAATCCTGACAGATCTATGTCAAACTGTCACTTAACATCCATGGACTCACCCATCTTGACTCACAGGGTTAGGGTTGTTGGGGAAGGTTGTTTTTGAATTAGCATCCAGGAAACAGCAGAGGACGTCCAGGCTAGTAGAAGCTAACTGTTAGCATTAGCAACTCCACCACATGCAGAACTCCTTCAGGCTTGTGTTCTTTGCGAAGAAAAAACATCCACGTTGCAGAGCAAACACAGTCAGTAGTAGAGTCTTATTGCTGTTAGCCAATCAGATGTGATATGTCCAGATATGCTGTCTGAAGCTCAGCTGTGAAGTAGCTCCTTCCTGGAAATGGTGCACTGGTGTTTTTTGCCCCAGGGTATGACTTACCAACATTATTTACTACTAGAGACCCCCTGAAAATGTATTGATTAAACAAGTGTTCCACACCTTAAAAGTACTGACCATTTAGCATAATGAACACTGAATAACAGTCTATGATATTTTAAGTTACCAAACTCTTCTGGTGATTGAATGCATAAAATGTGTGTTCTGTCTTTGTTTGTGACCAAATTATACCAGTCAAAGACACAAAAGTTAAACTTTGTGTTCCTACTAAAATCAAATCTTAGTTTAAAGTTTGAATCCATTTTAATATATATTCTGATCCATTCCTATGATTTTTCAGTGTGACTCTCGTTTTCACTGACTAAATTTACAGAGCACTAACTATGTTTCTTCTACACATCAGTTGGCGATGCACTAAAATGACTTTGTGTTGTTAATGAGCACTGGTTGACAATAGACTCATGCAAGCTACGACAGTGAGAGCTGGCCTGTTGTGTTCCTGCAGACCCGTGGAGCCTTGCCAGGCCGTTAGGCAGATGAAGCTCCACTCCATCAGGTCCAACAAGGGGTGTCAGGGGGCCTAGCCTGCCAAGCTGCAGAGGACACTAAATTATAATTGCCCTGCAAGCTGTGTCTTAAATGCACCCTTTCATTTTAGGGGGAAGATTGGACCTTCTTTCACTTTTAAAATGAACATTTAACATTTTCTGTGTAGGAAAGTGGAGCATTATAAAGTTTCAGCCAGTTCTATAAAATTAATATTAATCCTCAGAGTTTGGCAGAGCGGATAAATAAATAAGGTGGGATTTAAAATAGTATAACCATCATTGCCAGCGAGACATTACATAGGAACATACAGAATATGCTCATGACAGAACTAAGAACTAGTAATAATTACGGGCATTTTGGTTATCTTGCTTGACCAAGTTTGACCTTCTCCGGGGCCCGGGCTCTAGTTAACAGGCTGACTAGCGGGACGTGGTCCACGGTGGAAATAATAAGTGAAAAGAGCGGAATTAATTGGGTTTGATTAAGAACACTTTTCAAAGGGACACCATTTTCCCCTCTTGACATAATTGCAGATCACTCAGAGGGTGTGGGGTGGGGGTGGATTTGTTAGCTGGCGCCAGTTGCTTGTCTTCGCGCCAGTGTTCACTTTGAGAAAGTAGACGCGTCACTCAAACTACACTTCCTCTCTCTTTTTACACACACGTACACACACGCATGTACGCACGCACACACACACACACACACACACACACACACACACACACACACACACACACACACACACACACACACATATACACACACACACACACACACACACACACACACACACATACACACATGCACATGCATGCACAAACACACAGCACGCACTAAAAAAACACTGAATTTTTATATTATTTTTAGTCTTACAGAGACATTGCATCATGTATATTAATTAGTTTTAAAAATATATATAAAGGCAATATAAATAATGACAATGTTGTTATGGCAAAAATGATAATGAATGCACTAGTAGTTGATTTTTTGTTTGAATATTCCCTTTTTAAATAGAATTTATTACGTTTATTATTTTTTCAGTGCACGTTTCATTAAGATATAGAGGCTAAAATATGTCCTACCAAGCAATTAACCTGTCAGTGTGTGTGGAAGGTCAGAATCTGGATGCAGCCCTGATGCTTGGCCTATCCTCTGTTAAATTCTTTTATTGTCTCGTTTCTCTGTGCAAACCCCCAAAAACATATTTTGTTAAACCACACCTATAAAAAGCAATTATTGTTGTAATATATTACCAGCTAAATATATTACTAGTAAGATATTACATTTGAAAAATCCAAATTGCTGCAACACAATAAAAAAAAACAGCTAAATAGAACTCGTGAAAATTGTTACAACCTAAATCTAAGAAATTTCTTGACTAACAGTATAAATTAGCTGGAATGAAATAAGTAATTTGAAAGAAAATCACTGAGTGATTGATTCCCTGAAGAGTAAGAGGGCAAATGTATTTTGTTTTGATTCTGGGTTTCACTCAGTAGATGTAAATGTGCAATTCACTTTAATCCTGGATTTAAAAATCTGATAACACAAAAGTTAATAATAATAATAATTATTATTATTATTATTATTATTATTATTATTATTATTATTATTATTATTATAAGTTCCTAATATTAGATTTCAATAAAATTTTCTTCACATACGTTAATTTTAGGTTGGAATCGTTTTAATCTCTTCTTATAACATCCATTATTGCTTACTTTTATCTGTTAGCTGACAACGTGCAACTGTGGCTCCCTCTCCTGGATGTTTGACAGCATTGCACAACGGGAGAGGTCCCAAATAAGAATGATTCATTCTCTGTGCAGAAGAGTGTGGCAAGCCAGGCTATCCAAATAATGTTCTTCTTAATTCTTGAGTGCAAATTACCATCTTACGGATGTGTGGAGATATATGAACCCTGATGCTACCAACATACATGGTCCAATTCTAGCAGGAGTTCCCAGTCACGAATATGGTTAATGTCTAAACATGGATTACAGTATGTCACCGATGTTTCTCACTCTCATGCCCCATTATCTGATCATAAATTAATAAGTCTTAGATTAAAAGGAGTTAAAGAACAACCTAGTATTAGGGGCTATTGGAAATGTAACAATGACCTTTTGGATGATAGAAAATTTAAGGAAAGTGTTTCATTTTTGGTTGAGAAAATTTTTAAGGAAAGGGAGATGGATCCAATTCAAAAGTAGGAGTTTTTCAAATATACGGTTGGGGAAATAGCAGTAAAACATTGTAAAGAAATAAAGAAACAGAACACAAATAAAATGCTAAATTTTATTGTTAAATTAGAGCCCCTAATATCTAAGCAAGGCTTGTCTGAAAGTGAATTAAAAATTCTGTCCAATCTAAAAGAAGAACTTGATAAAAGTATGTCAATTTAGCTAGAGGTGCGTTCATAAGGTCTAGTGCACTAGGTTAGAGAAAGGAGAGAAAAACTCTAGTTACCTTTTTGCTCTAGAAAAAGAAACAGGAAAAGAAACAACATTGTGGCTCTTAATATTAATGGTATAATAAACTCAGACCCTGTTATGATCGCCAATTATACTACCTCATTTTACATTGATTTGTATTCTACAAAATTTAATCAGACCAATTGTGACAGATTCTTAAATCATTTTAGGATGTTTACACCTTGTCACACCCTGTCCTATCTCCCCATTCTGTTTAGTCCTGTGTCCATGTTAATTGCTCCCCGCTGCCTCTCGTCTCCCAATCACCCAAGGTCCCAGCTCCTCCTGTGTTTAAACCCAGTTAGTCCATTTTGACTGGTTGGTTCATTGTTTCATTGTCCTGCGTGTCCTTCAT